TTCAGCCTGGACATTTGCTCGGTTTTTTTGAAGGGATGTTGTCCTGGGCTTCTGAATATCTGTACCCATTTCTTCCGCCAGCTTAGTTGATTGAGTGAATAACTCCTTGAATGTGTCGGTGCTGTTGTTTCTCCTTTCCTGTAGGCTTTTTGTAGTGACTTCTACAAGCTCAGTTGCTTTAAGTACGTCCATGTACTCAGCTTGAAGTTTACGTGCTAGTGGTAAGGTTATTCCAAGGACCTCAGCTAACACTACCACACTGACCAAAAACTCGGATGAGAGGATAGAGTGCATGAAAGCAAATGCATTGCTTCCCTTGCCTTGAGGAGAATTAGCAATTCTTTCTAGAGCAGCAGGGAGTGTAGGAAGGTGTTCCACAAAAGTCAGAACAGCATCGTGTCTTTCAATCCACCTTGTTTCACAGAGTTTTTTCAGACCATGAGTTCCTGGTTTCAGGTTGTGATTCTCCCTTACTTCGTTTTCCAAAATTTTAAATCTTGCTGGAGAATCACGGAAGAAAACTGCTACGGAAGATATAACTCCCATTGTATTCCTAATGCTAGCAATAGAGCAAGCTTTACTAATTGCCAGATTCAATCTGTGATTGGCACAGTGAGTGTACATTGCCAGAGGCTGGATCTGGGAAATTCGGGCTTGTACGCCTTTGAAAACCCCACTCATGTTGGACGACCCGTCAAAAGCTTGACCACGGCAGTTAGCTAAATCAACATTAAGTTTTTTCAGTTCTTGAACAATAGTGTTTGCTAGGTTCTCTCCAGTTAGATCAATAACATCAACGAACTTGATAAAATCTTCTTCAATGTTGCATTTCTTAGTGTCGAAATATCTAATGCAGATGGTTAGCTGTTCTTTAAGCGACAAATCTGTCGTTTCGTCTGCCATAATAGTAAAAAACTTTGATTCTTTTATTTTAGATATGATCGTGTCAGTGATCACATCACCACAACATTCAATTATCTCATTCTGAGTTGTTTTGCTTATGTAACTAGCATTCTTTCCACAAAATTTTAAATGAGAGCCTAGAACCTTATCCCCTGCATCAACTCTGAATTGCAGTAGTGCCCGAAAATTACCTTCCCCGAAGCAGCTCTCAGTGTTTAGATCAATTATACCATCATCTCTGTGGCCACGAAGTGGTATATTTTGTGCCCCACATAAAATAACTGTCTTAATAATGGGAATCAGCTTTTTGCGGTTCTCTTCGATCGTTTTTCTTTCTGCTGTATTCATACAAGCTACTACATTGCTAATCTTTCCTTCATGAATCAAACAAAAGTTATGATATGCAACCACATTTCGGCTGTGGTATTCAGTATTTGCATGACTCTTCAGCAATTCGGTGGCCTTTTTATAAGAAGTCATTGGTTCAACAACCAACTTCCCCAATTTAACATCATTATTCCCACCTTCTCTACGACCAAACATAACACAGTACTTGCATAGACCACCATGTAATTGCTTGCTGTAAACTAGCCATTCATGTGTTTTTAACCAGCTTTGCTGAAAAGAGCGGTTTTTCTTGCCTTCAGAAACCATTGGGAATATGAAACTTTGACATGGCACCCAAGGGTTTTTTATCCATTGATATTTCTCTTCATCTGTTAGAAGTGATGGTGTGATATCTCCATTTTTAAGAAGACGACCAAAATCGCGAACAGATAAGTTAGAAGAGCTGACTCCTAATCCTGATGCAGAGCAATCTGTTCCTGATTCCTTATCCCCAAATACATGAGCTTCTTTAACAGGTATGTTACTGTTAGCTGTTATTTGATTTCCTGGTTGAGAATCTGCATGGTCCACCTGAAAATAATGAAAATACAATAAACATTACATGAACATTTAGCATACTCACAAGATCACAAGATTGGCATTTTTTTAATAAAAACTTAATATTCTCAGTTATTTGTAATCTGATCTTAGTAATCTTTTTTATTTGCTTAGAAAATACGCAAATCTTTGCTTAATGTCCTTAAGATATTAAGCTTCAACAACAACAAATGGTCGCCATTTTATAATAGTACAAATTAGAAAATAGAAACAGCTTTTAGTGCAAACTACAAACTTTTAAAATAAAAAAATAGTATATTTTTAACAGTAAGCCAATGCAATGAAGGCAGTGTTAACTAAAACTAAATGAATATGTTTATCGAACTTACCTTAGGTTTTTTAGAAAAGAAGGAGTCAAGGCCTAGTTGTCTTTTATTCCCTCCACTAGAACTCATTTTATACAACACAACACTGACATAAAACGAGTAACAACGAGAAAATCTTAGTTTTTATTGTTCTTTAGAGTTTTCAGTTACGGCACGTAGCAAACACGTTTATAAACACTGATCACAACACTGTCGCAGTGTCGTCTATCGTCACGATATATACTCAACAAACTCAACCAGGGATAGGATCTAGCGCATCGGTCCATCGGTGGGCGGAGCCATTTTAAATAAGTGGTCGCGCTGTACGACAATTCAAATCAGCTGACCGGGCATTTAAAAAAAATTACTCACTGCACTAAGAACTATTATTTCAAATTAATTTATTTCACAAATTTTGAATTTTCTTTTAAATTTTTGAACGTGTCTAAAAATTTAAAAAAACAATCTTCTTTTTGTTTTTAAATTTCCTAATTACCGAGAATTCCTCAGAAATCCAAATTACCGACTACCCATTTCCGGGAAATCAAAAGAAGCCGGGAAAATGGAGCTCTAACTGTAAGAGATAGTCGGTTAAATGAGAAAAAAATTGCGTAGGACTTCGTAAGTCTTAGGTTTTCACCCAAAGTGATCGAAAGTAGAACCGCAAGTCTATATTTGAACTCTTCGTGTAACTTTGCGTCGATTGATATATGATTTCACTAATTTTGAGTAATTTTTACTAAACTTTCGCTCATAATTGTTTAAATGCAAATAACTTAAAAACCGGAACTAAAGATTCAAGCTCGACTTCTCAATACGCCTCGAATGATATGTCACATGTATTATTTCTGCGACTATAATATAGCACTTCCGATTAGAACTTTTTAACCAAAAGTATACATTTGTTCTCATCTTGCTCCGGCACGTCGAATAATATATCGCTTATACTATTTCGGTGGCTTTTAAATGGTACTTCTTTTTATAACACTAAAACCGGAAGTCCGATGTCAAATTTCTAATCTTTATTACCATCCTTGGGTTATAATCAATTCTATGAGCAGATATTTTGACTGTAGAACAGAATATATTATTTTATTTTATGTAATAATATTATATTGTAATATAACCAATTAATTCATTTATGTTCCCGAAATAAATTATTTAAATCAGGTACAATATGTTTCATAAAAGAATTTTTGAACCTATTTTATCTAGTGTATTTTTTATTTCGTCTGGGGGGGGGGGCACGTGCCCCCGTGCCCCCCCTCTGGATCCGCCACTGTACTGGAACAAGCATAGTAAATGCTCATTATTTATATAATAAGAACAAAACTGTACCAGAAAGAATAGGTCTAACATATTTCAAAGAAAAAATATGCTTGAAACTACTTACAAAAGGTAAACAAAGTTATACTCCCCACAAGTCACCGTCAGAACATAAATTTATTCAAGCAGATAAAAAAAGTCGGTGCATGATTTGTTACCAACCAAATGACCATGGACGACAGTATGTAATAAATAAAACTAAGAAAGTTACCACTAAATGCCAAGTTAGAATCTAGGTAGTTTTATGTTAATAACTATGACTTTAAATATGTTTATGTATTTTGTTGTTTTAGATTTAAAATGGTACAGAACAATTGTGGAAAAACGGAAAAAAATCAACAATTATGGAGCGAAGATGCTATGGTAAAAGCTACAGATGATGTGAGAAACAGCTTAATTTCTATCAAAAGGGCAGCTTTATCCTACCAGGTGCTCAGAACAACTATGAAGCGACTGAATTAGCAGGACATATTTGCTAATTCAGAAATAGAGAGTTTTTGCCCTTTTAACCACCGATTTAAGGAGGCTGTTATTCCAATTTGCGGAGAGAAACAATATTTCCTATTTGTTTAACTATGAAAAAGGCTTAGCAGGGCGCCATTGGGTGAATGGATTTATAACCAAGGAAAAAATATTTCTTTAAGAAATCTACTTCGCAGACAAGAGCGACAGATTTTAACAAGGAGAACGTTGCTGTTTTTTACACTTCTGATACAAATGTTAGAGAAATATAACTTCTCACCAAACCGCATCTTTAATTGTGACGAAGCAGGGCCGTTGACAAGGCCAAATAAACCTTTAAAAATATTTTCCTTAAATGGAATAAAGCAAGTTGGATGTTTGTCGTCGGCTGAGCGAGGCACTCTTCGACAATTGAGGTTTGTTTCAATGCTGCAGGTTTTTATGTGCCCTCTAGCAATTTTTCCAACTGTGAGTAAATCTCTACTTATTTAAAAGAAAGTTGGTCCAACTAGTAGAGTATCCCCACCTTCAACCCTAATTTAGCCAGTGAAAAAACTCAGCGCAGACAGACAAGATTCATACATACCCCTTTATAAGTTTTATATGTTTTTCAAGTTTTAATTCTAAGAAAAATAGTTATTTCGTACCAGCTATTATTCATATGATAACTGTTTAAGTTGGGCTTTCTAGTCCAAAGTTAAAGTTAAAACTCATGTTCATGTGTCTTTCTTATTTTCTTTAGAAAACCACTTGATAATTGATTTATTTCCATACGTCGAATTTGTTTCATATGCGTGGTCATTTTACTCCACCTATGGGGCAAAGTTGGGTTTTTTGAACTTTTTTTAACAAAAGTAGGTAAATAATGTTTATGAATCAATTTGGCAAATGGTATGATTTATTTATTTTGGATAAATGAAGTCTGAAAGGAGCGATGTTTTTTTTTATGGAAAAAAGTTTCAAAAAATAAAGCGACGCTTATTTTTTTACTCTTAGGGGGACCGCTTTGCCACACATTTAGTAACCTGGGATATCCAAATAAAACATTATAATTTTTTTTTATTTATTTATTTTAAACCAGACATTAATACAATGCAACTACATCGATCTCTATAAAATAGTAAAATCATGTTGTACTTTCAACCTTACACCTTAAACGATATTCTAACTTATTACTTTTGATGAATCAATATACACTACTTATTGATCTAATGATTAGGTATATTATATACAAACATATCTTTTGATCCCATCAAGGGTAGCGCAGTTAACATATATCTCTAGTGTAAGTTTTAAATACACAAATGCTAAGATTTACTAAATATACCCCATTTGAAATCGGTTAACAGCATTTTTATGTCCCCATTATAGTTAAAATAATTATTTTTCATTTTTAAATCAATTCAACTGTTTCATTTAGGTTTTCCATGGATTAGAGAGTTAGAGTTAGATCAAAAATATAAATGTAAACGTGTATTCCAGTAACTACATATTGCATGATCGTGAGTGCTTAAAACAACACTACATCAGTGGTATAAGCATAATTTCGTATAATTGATCTTCTAGTACTAGGTATCAGTACACCACAGGTCGCTATAGGTTATTATAATATTGTTTGTTACCTCTTGCTCCAAATGGTTCTAATAGTATAGATACCAGGAGAATAACATAAACATACTTTATCTAAGATATCTTTAAGGTACTTCTCTTGTTAGAACTGTCTTTTTTAAAGCATAACTTTATTTTATATGGCCAAAGTTTCCATTTTTAAAATTTTTGATATGATCATATTAAATAATACTTCATATAGCTCAACAATTCACAATGATGTTTTTTAGATCAACAATTTTTAGATACGTTTGAAATAAAAGATATCTCGTCTAAAAGTGCCAAGTACATTAATTTTTACTCACATTTCAAATACCTAAGCGTAATTTTAAAATTCTGATACCGTAGATTCCAATACGTTTACATTTATTTAGTTACCCTACTTTAACTCTCTATAAGTAATGTATTGCAGTACAAACTATATTTCACCATGCTTCTTCAAGTTCGGCAATGTACTACGTAATACTTGTAATTCTGAATAATTTTTCGTTAAATTCAATATAACTGTATATACAAACCAATCAATTATGGTCAGAATAATAAGCTTCCCTCTTTATTGGATAGGATGTCAACAGATCAGTACTAGAAACTTCATTTGAGTTTCCAGTAAGCAAATTTGATGAAATACCGTTTCATCAAATTTTCGTATTCATTTCTGCGCTACTTTCTTTCAAAACCTATCTTATTATGATTTCGTCATCTAAACTATCCAACTTCCTACGCAACAACAAGTGTTCTTCCCTTATCAACTCAGCCAAAATCTGCATCGCCTTGTCGATTTGCTTTAAACCAACTTTACTGTACGAAGCTCTGACATAGCTGCAAGCTGCAGTAGGATCCGCCATGTAGTTTTGTCCTGGAATGAAGGTAATGTGTTTCTTTAGGCCTCTGGTTAACAACATATCGTAGACATCAGATACACCAAGAACCTTGAACCAGATGAACATGCCGCCTGATGGTAGTTCCCATTCACAGAGTCCTTTGAGATGTTTTTCCATGCATGAGACTGTGTAGTCACGTCTTACTTTGTAGAATGAAGCCACTCTCGAAAAATAAGCAAGGAGACCACTATTGCCCCATTTTTCGAAGAGGTTTTGAAGAATTACCTGAAACAAAATAGAAATTATTAGATATAATTCTATAAAATATTTAATAGATTAATTTTTTAATCGTGCTTATAAATAGGCGTTGATCTTTTTAATGTGATGTAATAATGTAATATCTATTTTATATTTTAAAAATACAGTTCATTATTCATTTCCATTGTTTGTCAGCTATTAAAATGGTATGATTACTGCACATCATATAATAGTTTAATTTTTTTTAGCTTTTTTTTTTAAATGTGTTGTTTCATTCCACATGTTTTCAGCTTATCTTGTTTCGAGCTATCAATTTAGCGACATCATTGACGGGGTCGTTGCTACTACATTAGTCAAAAATGTAACTTCTTACACCATAATGATTGAAGTATTTAGATAATGGCAATAGAATTTAATAAAATTATTACAAACTGGTTTTATCTAGTTTTACTAATGTAATGTTTGACCTTTGCAAACAGCTTGCGCTGATAACTGCAATTATCATTTGTTGTAACTAGATTATTTGGTGGGTCAAACTGGTCCAATTAGAAAACTAATTATTTATCAATTTAGTAGCATAATAAGTTAGACGTTTTATCTTAGTAATTAAATCATCGTCGGCAAATAATCGATCACGACTTCACCAAAGAAAAACAAGATTTTTTTAAAATGTAGACGTGGAAGCTAAGTTCATTGTGCAAATAATCTGTTTTTGAAAGATAAATTAGAATTTTTACACTGACTGGACATGTGTAAGAAGCTTATGATTCGGATAAGCAGATTTTTAAATTATATCAATTATTACACATCGTACAAAGTGTAACCGTTTTTAATTTCTATTAATAGCTGTATTTTGGAGAGCTGCATTAATCATTTATAATAATTTATAATCAATCCTGATTTCAACAAAATCATTCATTGTATAGTTTAAAAATTAAAACTTAAATTTACTTTTCGGGCCAAATATCTTTATAGCAATCCCTCTAACACCTCAAAGCAGAACTTGAAAAGGCATATAACAAATGTCAACTCAGAAGGGATGCCCGAAATAAGCTACGAAGAAATAGAAAGAGCAGTAAAAGAAATAAAAAGGAATAAAGCTCCTGGAAGCGTTGGAATCTTAGCAGAAATGCTGAAGGAAAGCCGAGAAGAGGCCATCACATCTCTAAAAATACTATTTAATAAATGAACTTTGAAAATTAAGGCAAATATACCGAGCACAAGTTTAATCAAATCTTGCCCAAGTACTTTCGCTTAATATAGCATCTTCATGGGCATTTCGTCAAATATGGGCTATCCAGCAAGCGTAGAATGTAATAAACATAGATGGTAACATAAAATTGTATAAACACAACACTAGAACAAGGACAAACAGTTTAAAATTAATAAAAAGTTTCTACGCTACAGACTTTGGCTATAACAGGTAATCATTCTCTCTCCTGTTACCGCCAAAGAATGTAGCGTAGAACCTTTTTATTAATTTTAAATTGTTTGTCCTTGTTCTAGTGTAGTGTTTATACAATTTGAGATGGCACTTGAAGAAGAAGAACAACTGATAAATTTATAAATATGTAAAATTTTTAAATACAATGGTAAAGACCAGCTTTTAAACACACCTGATTTGTTTTAAATATTATAAACTGTTCAGCCAGTCCAAAGTCTAGATAAAGTGTGATGGGAAATTTGCAAAAAGTTACCTATACTATAAATACATTACTATAAATAGTTTTTATTGTGAACTAGTCCGACTCTGCCTTTGCTGGAACTCATGTTCAAATACATGCTTATCGCCTGTTAACGTTAATAAATCTTTTAGATAACTTGGAGCAATATGTCAGTTGAACAATAGGCACTATAACTTTAGAATAAAATAACAAATAGCGAAAGCTTACCTGTGAAAGCACGCTAGAGTGAAGGATGCAGCTTGAAATATGTATCTCTATATTTTGAATCAACCTCTTTGGCCCAGTGACCCAACCAAGTCTGAGTCCGGAGCTAAGAACCTTTGACATGGAATCCAATCGAATAACTCTTCCTTCAGTATCAAGGCTTAGAAATGACACAGGTTGCTCATTCAGAAAATGTAAGAAGTAGTAAGCATCGTCTTCGAGAATAAGAATGTTATATTGGCAGCAAATTCGATATATCTCTTTTTTTCTTTCCGTCGGTATTGTTCTTCCAGATGGGTTCGATGCTGTAAGTAAACAGACTATTAAATTTAAGAAAAACAATTATATACAGTAAATATTTATCCTTACTAACATTTTCAATGATTATCTACCTGCGTTATATTGCGTGAAAAATATTAAAGCGATATGAACAAAAGACAAGTGTCTCTTCTTAATTAAAACACTTAAGTTTAGTAGGCAATTATTGTGGAATATCTTATTTTGAACGATTGTTTTGAGTTATTAGTCATAAGATAATGGTGAGTTTTGATTGGTAAATCAATTGTAGCATCTAATAATGTTTAATTACCATAATGCATATTTAAGAGGAATCATAACTACTTATTAGGAGCCATCGAGAAAAGCCATCGTGACTAAAATTCTATCATAAGACAGGTCATATGATGTATGACACGGTATATTGGGTAGATAAAAAATTAAAATTATTATAAACTGAAAGTGACGGCGTACCACAAAAGATACAGGAAATAAATAATAAAGAAGTAGTAAAAAAATAAGGGAAGACGGAAAACACACTTTGTAGAAAGCGTTTAAAAGTTTAAGACTGTGGTATTAACTATTTTGAATTACCTGTTGGGTTTAAATAGATAATTTTTGGCATTTTCCCTCCACCTTCTTCTGTGTACTTTTTGCAGTTTTCTAAGGCATCGATGAGCTTTTGAGGAACAATACCAAATTCGTCTTCGTCAATTCCAATAACATTTACATTAAGAGGTTTGATCTACAAAAGAAGAGATAACATTAATTAAAATTAAAGTAACATTGTAAAAATTATCTTAAATTATAGATACTACATATCCACTAGCTTACTGATTATATTGAAGTTATAGTATATAAATATTTGTACTTACAATGGCCTCCGTTCCAGCATAATAAGGATTTTGCACCAACATACTATCATTTTCCTCTAAAACCATCTCCAAAACACGACTCATTCCGTCTTGCGATCCATTCGTTACCAGAGTTTCATATTTGTCCCAATCAGGAGGGTTATGTACATCTTGAGTGAAAGACTTGACCGATTTCACCAACGCTGGATAACCTTGGGTTGGAATGTATTGCAGAGCGGAAGCTAATTCTTGGCCAACAATGTCGAATTTTGATCCATCTTTTAGTTTGACAGTAATAGACTCAAACGGAAAGGTGATTTCATTGGGAACTCCTTCGGCAAGGGATATTTGTTCCTTGGGACCACCATATTGCCGTTTAGCTGAAAGTAAGTTATTTGTTAGATAACTATGATTTTGAAGTTTCTGTTAGTAGTGTTGTAGCTTATAAAACTATTTAATATAAAATATTTAGACTAAAGTATGGAAAGTGACAGAAGTCATAATGATTGAAAAACCAGGAAAGCCGCTAAATGAGGTTATATCCTACAGACCTATTTTATTATTGCTTGTACTTTTAAAATTATATCAAAAGATTCTAATGAAAAGACTAAAAATCATCATCAAGAAAACATATTAATCACATCATATCAGTTTGGCTTAAGAAGGAGTCATTTCGAAAAATCGATCAGGTACATAGAATCGCCTACATTATTGAAAATGCACTACAAGCCTTCCATAAGGTATGGCATAAAGGCTAAAAGAAATCTACAACCTTTAGTGAATACGATCGATAATTGGATCAAAAAATGGAGGATAAAATTAAATAAGACACTCAGATCCCTGTTGTCGATATTGCGAAGTATCTGGGTATGCATCTTGATTTGAGAATTTGTTGGAAGTTCCATATAAAAAAACGAGAGGAACTTAAATTGAAATACAAAAAATTGTACTGGTTGCTTGGAGGAAACTCAAAGATCTCCATAGATAATTAACTTTTGATCTATAATATCAGACCGATCTAGTCATACGGTGATAACCTCTGGGGTTGTGTCAGCAAGAGCAATATTTTAAAGATATAACGCTTTCAGACAAAGAATTAAGTAGCAGGATCGATGCCTCTTGGTACGTTAAAAACAGCTACATTCACCGAGACTTAAAAAAGATGAAAACTATTGAAGAGATAATAAGGAATTGTGCCAACAATCATGAGCAAAGATTTCTTTAGCATAGGAATATCGAGGCACTCCAACTCCTGGATAATACATAGTTAGTAAGAAGACTGAAAAGGGAGACCTTTCGAATTAGTGTAGTGATTAGTTGAAAAGCAGAGTATAGTGCGGCTTAGTGTACACGAATGGTTGTACAAATAATGACTGTAAGTAAGAAAGACCGTCTAGAAACATTATTGAATGTAACTAGAATTTTAGGTATTTATTAGTATTAATTTAGGACGGAACAGAGCTGCTCATTGATGTTTCTGTTCAGATTGCAGTATGGAAGACACCTCTTAAAGGGTATTTTATTAATAAAACAAAATATTTACTGAGCAACTTTCAAATCAAAGAAAATCTAAAATAAACAAAAACTTTAATTGAACATTTTTTTAAATGTGGTTTCTTAGGTAGACAGAACAGCTAGTACTGGGCCCAAGCAATGGGCATCACACAAAAAAACCTTTGATTTACATGCTAAATGAATGTCGAATATGGAAAATTTTAACTAAAAGGGGATACACTGATGAGTCCTTAGTCCAAAATGACGTCTCACAACCAGGTCTAGCTAAAAATAGCAACCAACTCTGAGTTTATTAACACTCTCTTCACGTCTTAATAACAATCCATTTAATTTCTGTTTTACGATCAATCATACAAAAATTGTCCAATGTGTTGAATTAGTTAATTCGTTCAATTGATTGGAGATACAATGAATTGTTTGTTTATTTTATTTCGAAAATAAAAAACAACCATTCTCGCCAATTTCGCAAATGAGTTGACGCCTAAAGATAGTACGGGACACCAAAACATTTACTATAAATGAACACTTCCGGCGAGATAAAGAGTATTTTTTAGTCATCTCGAACAATGTTTTTCGATAAAACTACAGAAAAATAAATAATTATCAGTTAACATTTCTTAACGTTTGCGTAATTGTATCACAACATAAAACTTAGTTATTGTTCTGAAACAATATGTATAATTTTTTAAATGTAGTGAATATGCACAGTACCTAGATTAAAAATTATGGAAGAGGCGATGACCTCAGCTATTAGTCGTTTAACTAGAACATGAATTGTTTGTGGGGCATCTATCATTTAATCCGTAACAAAAATTGGTACTTATTTCTTTGCTACCATTTAGCATCTGGTAAAATCTTTTATTATTTAAAAAACTAATACAAAAGTAAAAAACTTCAAAACTTTGTATATTGGTATAAAAACATTTATGCCATAATTGTTGCAGGCAATATTTATATTTGTAATTGATCGTTGTAATTCTTCTATTGTTCTTGCAACTATGTAGTACAATGTCGTCTGCGTATCGAATATTATTTACAACCTCTCCATTGATTACGATTCCTTCGTTTGGTTCCAAAAAGGTTTCCTGGCAGATGCTTTCACTATAAACGTTAAATAGAAGCGGTGACAAAATGCATCCCTGTCGCACTCCTCTACGTATTTCTATTGCTTGTGATATCTCATTTTCTATTTTGATGTTATCTTTCTGATTCTAATATATATTGAGAATTATTCGCAGTACTTTATGATCTATGTCCTTTCTTTCAAGAATGTCTCTTAGCTTATCATGGCGTACTCTGTCAAATGCTTTTTCATGCTTCCTTGCTTGACTTGACACCTGGTTCTTCTCAGTTAAAACAGACCAACTGGCCGAGGTGACAGGAAGTAAAATTCAGGAAGGCAGCATTACCAGTTAATGCTGCCTCGTCATGTTAATGCTGCCTTTCTGAATTTTACTTCCTGTCACCTCAGCCAGTTGGTCTGTGTCGCTTTAACTGACAAGAACCACGTGTTCAAGTCAAGCAAGAAAGCATGTTGCTCTTTAAGTATTATCATTTACAATCATACTAAACCATATCAAACCATATATTGATGTATCTACTGCAATTTTAGCGTTAGCTACAAATACCAAAAGAATGCACTGAGGATGGTCGAAGCTAGATCGAAAACGTTATGCATCTATAAATTTTGGACACTTTTAACAAGTTTTAGTTAAATGTTTTTATACCAATATACAAATTTTGAAGTTTTTTATTTCCGTATTAGTTTTTTATCTATGATATATAGCTAACTACTTGGATTTTCCCAATAATTTTATTTCAATCTTCCAATGTTGTTTTTTTTTATGTTAAGACGTGACTGTGATAAATTTTTCCAATAGACTTCTAAAAGAAAACGCAATAATAACGTTTTATAAAAACTCTTCACTACTTATTGCTTCGAAATATTTTAGTTTTTAAAGTTTTTTCTGTTAATATTCTCCATAATCGTTGGTGAAATACAGGATTCGATATTAACTTCGATAGATTATCAGTGCAAACTCATTGCTCGAAAGTTTTTGGGGTCGCAAATTATAAATATAATAACGGCAATCGTGTCCGAGGCACCTGGTGCCCAGGAGGAGGCTCGTCTCTTGGAGTTTTGTGAAAATTCGATACAAAATCATTACAAAGCCGTTATTCGGGGGACTTTGTGGTCGCTGAACACGAATATTATGACAAGGAGTATCTACAATACATCTAATCCCCAGGACAAACTGATTTTGTTTTGAATTTCGATATAACTCTAGAAGACTTGTTCCATCATGGCCACTAAGTGCTTTGCAGACCATTGCCGACATGATATTTGTGTGCAGCGACCCTAAAAACCCCATAATAACAACTTTGCACTGATTTTGTATCAAATCTATACAAAACTCTAGGAGACGTGGCTGGTCCTGTGCACCAAGTGCATCAGAGATCATCACCAACATTCTATTATGTTCAGATATTCCCAAAACAGTCCGAGTAACTAGTTTGCACTGATTTTAAATCGAATTTCCACAAAACTCCAGGAGACGACGCCCGTCCTGGGCAGCAGGTGTCTCGTAGACCATCGCCGTCATGATATTCGTGATCAGCGGCTCCAAAAACCGCTGAGCCAAAATATTGAACTCATTTTCGTCAATTATTTCCGAATTAAATGCATTTTCTTGTTTTATCATGCAATTTTCATTTCAACATCATCACTTTAGTTCACAAAATTCCCTAACGCCCCTACAAATCGAATGCAACAAGTTGCATCGGGGTCCATCTAACTGCAAAAAATTGATAGGCTTATTGCTTCATTGCCTCGCCTATTACATTCCTTCATTTATTTTATTGCTCTAAATGTCCATTGTTTGATTCATGTGTATTGGTTAGTTATATCGTCTTTTTATAATAATGAACAAAAGAAAAAATACAATAAAATTTTTAATTGCCCCAACTTAATGAATATAAATATTTTAAAATTGTACGTAAAAATACATTTTGCATATCTTGCCATTGTCTAGAATTTATTATGTTAATAAATATTTTTTATTAAATTATCCGAATTTCTTAATATTGTTTATTAAATTAAAAATAACGAATTATTATTAATTAAGTCAGAATGTACAAGTGAATAATTGATATTTTATTTTAATGATATCGGTATCGTAAAACTTGCACTTATAGTAAAAAATAATACGTATTTTACATAAACAAGTTCTACAAAACGATTATGCGTAATATATTTTAAATTACTTGTTAACTTTAATGTTAGGGAAATTCTGTATTCTAATAAATTTTGTTTACGAAGCAAATAGATGAATTTGAATTTTAAAATATGTTTATACTTTAAGACATTTATATGGAAAAGATACAAACGTTTTGATACATCATGTCAGAAATAAGAACCCAGAATATAGTAGTAATAATTAAAAAAAAAACTAGAAAATATTATTTCTTTAAAAAAAGGCAGAAGCAAAAAAGGAGGAATAAAATCGAAAAAGTAATAAAGCAAAAGAAATGGCAAGAAGATAAGTAACGAAAAAATTTATTTAAATATTAGAATTGTTTATTATTACTAAGTAACAAAAAATAACTATTAGATTTACCTTCAAACAAATAAGTCACAATGGAAATTGGATATTGTTCTAAAGCTATTTTCGTGTGGCAATTTAATTTAATTTACTGTTTTTAGTGGAAATTTATCACAGTTTTTAAGTTTAAAATATGTTTAGTTTGACTTCTCGATTTCCATTTTCCTATATTCTCATTACATGACAAGCCCATTGAATTCTCCGAAGTTTAACGAATTCTAAGTGCTCTTCGAACAGTTGGCAGAGTTCATGGTTCTACCTGGATCCCAATACTTCCTTACAACTTTTCTTTCAAAGACTTCCCGCTTTCTATTTGTGTTTTTTGTCATCACCCAAGCCTCGCATCCTTAACATACCACAATAGTAATTTTATAGTCCCTGATTTTTAATTTCTAGTGTGTGTTTTTGTAGAGGAACACATGAGCGGCTAAAAAATAAGCTTTGTTTTCCTATACCCATCTTCGTTAAATATCTGGTTCTTCTGTTACATCTGTGAAACTTTCTGCTGTTTGAATATCGTTCTGTATATGTTAGCTTTAAAATATGTATTTCTAGTTCGGTATCTTTTGCCCTTGTTTTTATTTGTGAATCTATTTCTGCGGCCTTTTTCGTTCTGAGAGACATAGTGCTGATGTCATCAGTCAATTTGCATTGCTTTATTTGTTATGAAATGAGCTCTTCCTATATTTAACTGTCTTCTTACATATCTAAGAGACAGGCTAAATAGTGTCGGTGATCCCTTCTCTTTGATTTAACTACGACTTAACTATTTGTTAGCCATCCAATTTATACATATCAGAGGGGAACCTGTCAATACCTGGAGCCTTGTTATTTCTTGGTGCTTGTATTGCTTGTTTTACCTCTTTAATCGTTGGAAAGTTTAATTTTCGGTGTTTACCTCAATGTGCTGCATATCCATATGCTCTTTATCTGCTTTCGTTCCTAAAAGAGTTTGGAAATAGGTTTTATAGACTGATTTTATTTCCCTTGGATCACTGTTTATCTGCACTTCTTGATTTCTGCATAGATTTCTTCGAGGTCTGTACCTTTCTCTTAAATTGAGTAGATATGTATAAGCTTCTTTCCTATTGTCTGTAAATTACTATTTTCTAATTCTCTTTTCTCTATTCGGAATATTTTAAATTCGCTTAAGACAAAAAAAGATTGGGTTGAATACAGATTATCCAAATAAGGCATAAGAAAGTAAGAAAAACTAAACAACTACCAAATAAAAACTGTCCTTAAAATATCAAACAAACAATAGAGGAATAAGAAAAAGCATACATAGGACTAGATATAAATCGCCAATAGAAGTGAAGAAAACAATTAAAACAATATAAAACAATAATCAGAAAGTCCAAGAGGAATACCAAATTAACTGAATAAGAATTGGTAAAAGAAATTATTCCGCATGATACATAAAATGTTTGAAAGAGAGCTGCATGCTTAAAACATATATTACTTTCATATTTAGAGATAAAAAAGGAAATAAAACAAATTGCGAGAAAAAGCCTTAAGCAAAAGACACAAAACAGATACAAAAGGATCAATTTAAGCAAGCAAAGCTGAGTGATTAACAAGAGAATCATTAAGTTCATAAAAAAAATATGGCGTAGTTACGTCCATATATAGTTATTTTATATCTATTATTTAAGACGGAAAGATATTTTGTTTTGATCCAGAGAGAGATCCATAAAAAAAAGTTGCTGAAAATAGACCCTTGAGTCTACTTTAAGAAAGCATGTTAGCCAATACCCAGAAGTAAACTTTGGGACGCAATGAGCAGTATTGGATTGACACAAACAAGCTAATAAAACAGTAAAAGCGCCGTTAAAATCAAGAGCCAAATGTACAAACAATTTAAAATGCCATTACATACAAACAATTTAAAAAGTGCGAGTGCGAAAGAATGAGCATAATAATCCTAAATTAATCCACAAAGTTTCGATGACGAGCAAGTAATTATCGCACAAGATAAAGGTGACCTCAGTGAATCGAATAACACTATACTGAGCAACAGAAACAATATCAAGTAACTTAAGATAAATGAAGAAGGAGAAATTAAATAAATTGAAAAATTTAAGTATTTGTGATTCAATATATCAAAAAAAAAAAAATAAGGGAAAATATAAATGATACTAAAACAAACACGAGACTATAAGATAATTAAACTTGGTGATATGATACAAATACATTACTCGAAAAAAAACAATAATTAGCATGAACAATATCTTGCTAAGTACTGATATACAAGTCTGAATACAATATACTGATTAAAGAACAACAAAAGATGGAATATCTAAGTACAAGTTATATAATCATAAAACAAAACCGAATTATTAACGAAGATGTTAAGAAGCATATGGAAATAAACTCCAATATGATCAATTATACAAAGGAAAAAAGACTAGTCTGATACAACATGTTAGAAGAGTGGACTTACTGTCTCTGAATAACCAAAATTTATTCTAAAGTGGATGAGGCAATGGAAAGAAGACACCAGCAAGTTCAAGAATAGAAAGCACTGGACAGAATGACTAGAAGAAGAAATATAGTGAAAACTGTGGTCTGTAACTGAAATTTCAGTAGTAGTAAAAAGAAATATTGGTATTCCTATCCATACAATCTTATTGGTATATAAATAATTGACTATAGTAGCCAACGAAATAGTTACAATGCTGAAGAATTCATGAATCTATTATTATTGGGACCATAAAATTAATAAGCAATAAAATAATAAATCATACAAAAGAATTAACACCAGGTTTAGCACGTTAAACAGATAATATTATACCGTTTGTATATATCAACTAAATATTTGGACCATTGCACCCAACCGGTAGTGACCATTTTAAATGATGCCACTAATTAAATCTTTAAATTAAATAAAAAATTCGTACAATATTAAATACATTCAAAATTATAAAGAGAAAGAAGTATCATCACTGCAATCAATTTAAATTTTTACATCAGCCAATACTTTCCTTTTTTACAGGTCACATTATTTTTGATGCCAAATGGTAGTAGAAGCAGAACGATTAACTATTTGACTATATTTTTTATGGAATTTTATTATATTATTAATGATTAAAATATTAATAAATTAATAATAACTGACAAGAATTGGAATAGATAAAACTTGTTACCAAATAAACAATAGGTGACGCATATACTTTTTATTTTTTTAATAATTAGTTAGGTAAACAGCAAATTAACAAAAATTGTAAACGTTTAATTACCTACTGATTAAACAAAATTACTTACTTATTTCTCTTGTTAAAGCCGGTCTTCTTCTAGCGGATTTCGCGTTAATGAAGTAGGAATAGTCAATAGTAGTCGACATTTTCGTATCTTCGTAACAAAAACTTGAGTAGATCTCAAACACCACAACGGTAAAATACCAAAAGGGCAGGTAAAAATTCAGTAAAAGTGAACACGACAGAGCACTGAAACAGAATGTCGAACCCGGCACGTTGTTTCGTTTTTATATCATTGGTTTGCCGCGCTCAAAAGATGATGTAATTTCGATAGAAAACAACGATATGGTATTCCATTCATGTTTTTGTTTTTGGTATCTGAGTAATAAAAACGGTATTTTTTAGATTTTGTAAACATTGATATCGGTGGCCGAAATTATAAGAAGAGATTTATTACAGTTAGGTGATTAAAGCGAGGAGGGAGCACGTTGAATTTAACAAGTCATCGATTAGAAGCTATGGATGGATATTAACCATATTAATTATTTACTCTAGAGCATAAAAATTATTATTTATTTCGGTTAATTTTTTCTAACTACGATTTTGCTCATTTATGCATGTCCTCTTTTAGTCTTTTAGGTTTTATTGCCGAATTTATGTTAATTGATTTTTGAATCCGAATTTTTCTATTCTGCTCAGCTTATTTAGGTACTTTTGTGGAATAGCTATGGTTTCTTTTATTATTATAATATAGGCTATTGATTGTCCAAAAAAAGAGGGCTAAAAGGAATTAAGTAATTGTAGATTTTAATAAGAAAAAAAATCAACTATAAAATCAATTTATACCTACAAAATGGTCTATTGTAGGAATTTCTAGGACTAATTTTAAGCAAGGTATGTTTCTACAACATTTTCTACTTTTATCTATTTTGCTGCTATTTTTAAACTTCTCATTATAACTATTTACAACTCACACATTTATACTTTATAACATATACATTTAGGTATATACATTACTAAATAAAAAAGAAAGCTTATTTTCTGTACTTTAAAATGCCTATACTTTTACCACCGTGGAAAAAAGTTGCGGGGCAAAAAAAGAAAAATCGCGTTTTTCGTATTTTTTTTTGCTTTGTTTTTTGAATATATTTTTGTTAAAAAAATTATTTTTGACTTTACAAAGTGACATTTTGATAGGAAATTAAATTTTCAACAACTTTTCTGTATAGGTATACTATGTGGTCCATATGTATGGAATAAATTCATTTTTAGCGTTATTATGTACTATGTGAAAAAAACCTGAAACAGGTCGATTTTTATTCTTAAATTGACAATTTACAGTATGAAAATAATATCCCCCTCCAGCACCCTATTTGAATTATAAGCACCCCTTCGAAAATTTTAAATAGCAAAGGGGGTCGTGTAGCACCTCGTTAGAAAGGGATTTTAGTCCTCTGTTCATCAATGTAAAGTTTTTCAAGTTTGTGCAATTATAACTTACAAAATTAATTTTTACAATATTAAATGTTCAACTTGATTACTATTATTCACTTCTTGACAATAACCGAGGCGATTTTGCAATTCCCATACAACAATTTGTATAGCCTCGGGGGTTATTTTGTTAATTTCTTCTGTTATCCTAACTTTTATATCAGCAATATTGGCTGGTCTATTATGTTATACTTTAGAAAAAATCAGGTATTTTTGTACTTGTTCTGCTAAACATTAGGGAAAAAACTTTGAAGATAATAAAATATTAGTCAAAAAGCCAAATAAACAATTGATATGAATCTAGTAGGCTGCTGTAATTTTCGTATTTAAGGTTACTATAAGACGTGAGTATAATATTTGTGCGCGTATTAAATTTAATTATAGCTCATTTGTCCGAGACTAAAAGTATAGACATTTTAACTATGATTGGTTGTGGTAATAAAACAAGAGCTCAAAAGGAGTTTGGTGAAATGTTAATAATGAATACCCTGGTCAACAAGTTTCGTAGTCTATAGTTAGCACAATTGCAAAGAACTTTCGTTACACTGGACATGTAAAAAATATTGAAAAACCAGGTAGAAATAATAAATTTATTGATGAAAAAAAGTTAGATGTACTTCTAGAGATTGAGGAAAATCCGCATAAGACAACTCGAGAACTTGCCGCCATCAATGATGTAAGTAAATCATCTATTTTGAGAGTTTTACATAAAGAAAAATACCGCCCTTACAAAGTTCAGTTGGTTCAGGAGTTAAATGAAGATAGAAGGCAAGAATTCTGTGACATAATGATGAACAGAATGAACGCAGATTTGCAGTTCATAAAGAAAATTTTTTTTTTCTGATTAAGCACGTTTCATTTAAACGGAACGGTTAACAAACAGAACTGTAGATATTGGAGTAGAGAAAATCCTCACTGAGTGTGTGAGACTCACACGCAATATCCTAAAAAATTAACGATTGTGCTGGTATTATTAACAATAAAATTATTGGTCCTTATTATTTTGAGGGTGTGCTTTTTAGTGCCTACATTACGAAGATTTTTTCCTAATGTTAATCATCCAAATTAGATAGATGGACCTTTTTACTACCAACAAGGTGGAGCTCTACTGCATTTTGCACTTATAACTAGAAATTATTTAAACGAGGTTTTTCCCAATAGGTGGATTGGAAGACGCTAAACAATCGAATGGCCGGCTAGATCCCCAGATTTGACTCCTCTCGATTACTTATGTATTTATTTAAAATCTAAAGTATAATTTACTAGACCAAACATTATTGCTGATTGAAAAGTTGGGATAACGGAAGAAATTAACAAAATAACTCCCGGAGTCGTACAAATGTTGTACGAGAATTCCAAAATCGCTCGGGTATTGTCAAAAAGTGAATAGTGGTCATTTTGAACATTTAATTTAATTGTAAAGTACATTGAAAAATACATTCTTAATATTATGTGACATTAATTATTATAGTAAAAGTTTTACATTTTAAAAATCATTTTCTAGGTTATTATTGCACCAACCTTAAAAAACTTAATATTACTGAACAGAGGACTAAAATCCCTTTCTAACAAGGTGCTACACGACCCCCTTTGCTATTTAAAAATTTTTTAGGGGAAATGGGGCAGCTGGAAAAGGATATTATTTTCATACTGTCAATTGTCAATTTAAGAATAAAAATCGACCTGTTTCAGGTTTTTTTCACATAGTACTTAATAACGCTAAAAATTAATTTATTCCATACATATGGACAGCATGGTATGTACGAATGTAATAACAATGCGCCTTAGTGCATAGAAACCAATTCACCCATTTCTCAAAAAGGCAATCCTTGAGAGCGTGAGTTACACTTTATTAGGAATAAAGTCACAAAACATATTTTAAATAACTTAGTATAACTTTAATATACTTTAAAAAAACCTGCAATAAGATTACAAAATGGGTTACGTAAATATGTATTTATATTTACTAGAATTCACATCAAACTTTTTTTAAAATTTCGTCAGCAATTTCAAAACCTCATGCCTGTATTTTGACTTTGGTAATTTTAATTCTACAGCATTTGTTTTCTCTTAGAAATGAAGCGAAGATGAATATGTTAGGAGAATCAAAATTAATTTTCTGTTTTTATTAAATGTTTATATGGTTGATGCAATAACGAACTATAATGACATAAAAATTAGTATACTCCGTGGGTATTAATTCATAAGATGCATATAATACGAGACGACTTACAGACTGTCTGATTTTAGTTCATTATTTTTATAAGTATTCAGGGCATAAACATCTTCTTGAGGTACTGGCCTTCAAATCTCCGCAGAAAAATTCAAAGTTATAATGTTCACCAGGCATAACATGAAACCGATGCAGAAAATTACAATAGATGGTATAGAATTTCCGGTGGATCCAATGTCAAATACTTAGGAATCACATTAGACAGAAAATTAACCTCGAAACTTCATATTGAACAAACATAGACAAAATGCAATAAAGGGCTAAACTTTTTAAAATCCTTTATGCGAACTTGGTGGGGTGCATAACCTCAAACAGCTCTACTCTTCTATAAAGCTTACATAAGATCAATAATTGATTATGGTTGTACACTTTATCGAACAGCCAATAAAACGAATCTACGTAAGCTGGATATTACACAAAACAAATTACTCAGAATATGTCTGGGAGCAATGAAATCTACACCAGTTGAACCGTTAAGAGCTGAAGCAATCGAACCTCCATTAGAACTGAGATCATTTTTAGCTGAAAAAACGATTATTACGTCGCTAAAGAAAAACTCACCATTCATAATCAGCACGTATAAATTAAACGAATACGACTTAACTAAGCCTTTTTGGATTCATAAACACTCTCCTCCTATTTGTGATGTATTAAGAAACGTGAGCTTAAAACCACAAACAAAGTTAGAGACCGAGTACTTTGATGACTTTGTTTCGTGTGATGTAAATATACCTCTTTATTCGGAATTAGCATCATTTAATAGTATAGTCATAAATCAAATTATAGAGGAACATCCAAACTACGTCACTATATACACTGATGGATCAAAAAACACCGATGGTAGGGGTTGCGCTTTCGTAATATCTAAACGTATACAGAAAAAATACAAGTTAAACAAAAACACATCTATTTTCACAGCTAAGGCAATAGCAATTCTAAAAGCACTAGAATATGTTCATCAGGAAGAGGATCAGAATGCTATAATCTTTTCCGATTCACTTTCCGTTCTTCAAATTTTAAAATTAAACTCAAACACAACTAATGATATTATTTTTAGCATCCAAACAATACTTAAACAATCACAAGATCAAAATAAATATACAAAATTCTTCTGGGTCAAAGCACACCCAGGAATAACAAACAATAAAATTGCAGATCAAATTGCCAAAGAAAGCATAGTAATGGGGGAACAAATAAATTACGAATTAACTACAGACGAACAAATAATCATAGCAAAACAGAGAATGATGAAGAAATGGTCCTATTTAAGGCAAGAGTACAGCTTTACAAATCCCACACGTTACACCAGACTTGAAACCAAATTAAGGAGAAAACCTTGGTACAATGAGTACGATTACAGTCGAAAAAATATAACTATTATCAGCAGAATGAAGTTTGGTCACGTATGTGATCGAGCACATTTATTTAAAATAAAAATGCTTGAGAGTGATATTTGCGAAGCCTGTAATAAAATCGGTGATCTGGACCACATTTTTTTTATTGTTTAAAATATAGAGCTCAATCTA